TCCTTAGGGACATGCACAAGCCCCATGCACCCAAAGATACAAAGCATATCCACCAGGGGCTTCTTGCCACTCCACTTCTCCATAAGGACCCAATGCTGACCTCCCACATGAGTCAACACCCGGTTCTTGATGACGGTAGCATGACGAATAGCGAGGGGCCAGAACTGCAAGGGTAGACCCGAGTCCACCAATATTGTTCTCCCGCCCTCTATGATGGTCCAGTTTGCTCTCTCTGCCACGCCGTTGGACTAAGGGGTGTAGGCCGTGGTGAGCTGCTGCTTGATGCCGTGCCGCTTCAACCAGCTCCGGAACTCCGCTCCCAAAAACTCCCCACCACGGTCGCTATGAATCGCCTTCACCAGCTTGCCGCTCTCTCGCTCCACCATCAACAGCCACTCTTCAATGATGACCCTTGCAGCATCACTCTTCTTTGCAAGTGGAAAAGACCAGGTGAGCCTTGTGTAATCATCCACCATAGTCATGGAATACAGGGCCCCACCATCTCCCTTTACCTTCATGGGCCCCACAAGATCCACATACAAGAGCTCCACCGGGTCACTTGACTCCCCCACCGCCGAATGGAAGGGAAACCGTGAGAACTTGCTGGTCAAGCAAGTCTCACAAGAGCCCACCTCCTTGGGCTCCCCCTTTATCCTCAGCCCCTTGACTCTTTACTCCTTAAACAGCTGCTATAACTGAGGTAGCGCCACGTGGCCAAAGCAACGGTGTGCGGTGAGCCAATCCGTCTCACCCGTGCTAGGAGTTACACTTGGTAGCGCACCCCCCCCCATGCACAAGCAGCCCACCATCACGGACATCACCACCTCCTCCACTAGTTATGTGGCTTGCATGCCCTCTTCTTACAGCTTCAGCAGCCAAGCGCGCAGCCGCCTCCTTCCATGGCAGCACCGGTATCTCCCACATGGACTGGTGCATGTCCTTGCCGCCTCGGAGGTCCCACAACATGGCCCATTTAGAGTTGCCTTCAACAACTTTGTGCACATCATCTCCATCTTCATCACTGCCTCACTCAATGCCGTGGTAGAGAGAAGGTTGGCACATAGTCGAGGGACAAAAAGAACACACTTCAGCCCCACAAGCCTCCCATCCGCACCCATAAACATGGCAACCCCTCGCCACGCACAGGTACAACTTGGCCGGTGGCTGAAACGACGAGGACTGCCTTTGATGGCCTAACTTCATTTAGTAGATCCTCTTGGTTGGTCATGGTCATGAAGGCTCCCGTGTCGATGACCCAATGGGAGGAGCGGTGAATAGCAACCTTGCTGGCCAGTACAACCATGTCCTCGGAGCATGCCTCTCCTACATGGTAGAACATGCCGCCATGTCCGCCAGCACCTCCATCGTCCTCCTCACTGCCCATGCCTTCTCCCATAGCTCCATGAACACCCTTAAATCCTTCAATTGATGGCTGACCAGGCCTCCAACCGTCAGGTAGCTTGCGACACTTAGACCACGGGTGACCTTCCACATGGCAATACCAACACTTGCCGCCACACCGCTTGCCTCCCTTGTTGCCACGCTTCCCTCCCGAATACTGCTCCCCTCCAAAGCCTTCCTTGGCCTTGCCTTTCTTGCTGACACGCCCCTTGAATCCTTTCATGCCGTAGGCAGAGCCTCCACCTTCACCGGCAGCGGCAGTCAGCTCCTTCCTCCGAAACTCCTCTTGAAGGAATTGAGCACGGATCCACTCAAGGGACCATGAGTCCTTCATGCCATTGAGGTTGACCGCCAAGGGGCCCCACGATTCCGACAGCAAAGAGAGAGCCTTGTAGCACTTGATCTTCTTATGGTAGTTCACACCAGCAGTAGAGAGCTTCACACAGAGGTCCCGGAGTTGATCGAACGCTCCTTGCACGACATCACCCTCGTTGATCTTCACCGCATGGAGTTGTCGCTTGAGCACCACCACCATCGTTTCGCTGCTGGGGGCATGGACATACTTCAATATTTTCCATGCCTTGGGACCACACTGGATATCCTTGATGAGATGCTTGACGTGGTGCAGCTGGTTGGATGAGAGGCATTGAGAGAGAAGGAAGAATCCATCCTTGGATCGGCGATCCCATTCCTTGGTCGCTTCTTCGCTCGCAGGCCTCTTCAATTCTCCATCCATCACTTCAAGCAGCCCATAATGGTTAAATAGGAGCTCCATCCTAAAGCTCCATGATGCCCAATCCTTCCCAGAGAATTTCTCCAGGTTGAATGCCTTCACATCATCCTTGGCTGGTGTTGAAACGGATGCTATTGGTGCAGATCCGCCTGCAACGCCTCTTCCTGCTTCCCCAGCGCCTCTCACGCCACCACTACCACTAGGACCAGCTGGAGCAGAACCATCAGCCTCCATATTGACCCAGGAACAGAGAAGAACTGCTCGGATACTACTTGTTATAGTCTAGAGTCCACTTAGGGGTCGCGGATGCCCATGAAACCGCCTAAGCACAATCTGATGACTTCAAACCGCCTCTGTTCAAAGCGCTGTCACGATCAGCTCCGATCATATACGAGGCTGAAACTTGGCCAGACGTTTGCTTTGGATGTTTGATTTTCAACGGTATATTGTTTGCTTTCATCAAAAGTGTATGCGCTACGTAGTGAACAAAAACGTAAGCTCGACTGAAAACGTGTAGTTTCATTGATGCAAGGAAGAGGTGAGTACAACATTGCCTAGGGGACTCTTAAGGGGTTGGGACCATCCTGGGAACTCAGAGAAGGTTGAGTCCTAGGGGAGAAAGGCTAGAGAAGGATGGGAAACGTCCTAGCTAGGTCAACAAACCCAATCAAACTTGGATGTTCAGAGCTGTACTCAAGGCTACCAATAGTGAGTCAAGCCAACCATGAGTCAACTTGTCTTCTCACTTGCACCCTCTTGCAAGCTGCTTCCAGGAAGACCACACTTCTCAAAAGGAGGGTGGTAGAGTCCCACTTGACCACCTGTAATTTTTGTCTCATTCTCTGTCTCTACACCATTGGCATGACAACAATGAAAGGGTGGCAAGGGAAATGTTGCCAGCAGTGCACCATGACTACAGAACAGTAATTTTCGACAGCTGTCACGTGCTGCTCCGCTGTCCTGAAACTCGGTGACCACCTGAGCAACTTGTCAACTTGTCTTCTCACTTGCACCCTCTTGCAAGCTGCTTCCAGGAAGACCACACTTCTCAAAAGGAGGGTGGTAGAGTCCCACTTGACCACCTGTAATTTTTGTCTCATTCTCTGTCTCTACACCATTGGCATGACAACAATGAAAGGGTGGCAAGGGAAATGTTGCCAGCAGTGCACCATGACTACAGAACAGTAATTTTCGACAGCTGTCACGTGCTGCTCCGCTGCTGGGTTGTCCTGAAACTCGGTGACCACCTGAGCAACTCAGCAAAAGACTGTTACATCGATTTTCAGACCAATCAGAGCTTGGAAGATGAGTCAGCAGCCGAAATGGTGAACTCGGGTGTTACAAAAAAGAGTAACACACACTTCCGAGATGCCATAAGTCTTGAAACAAAAAATATTGACATGCCTTGTAAACTGCTTCAAAAAATCTGAAACTTTGAGGATTTAAAGAACACATGTTGAAGCACCTCCCCACAAAATTCCAGAAGCTGAGCAGACTTGTAGGCCGAATGGAAGTGCGATGGCCGTACCACTATAGTGCTTTGGCACAACAACTGCACCTGCCGCTGCGGCCGAGACTCCTGCTCTACAGTCTCCTGCTGCGGCCGTGACTCCTCTACTCTATCTTGCTGTAGCTGCAGCTCTACCTGTTTTTGCAGTCGTGATTCCTCTACTGCTCTCTCCTACTGCGGCTGTGACTCCTCCTCCACTCTCTCCCGATGTGGATCCTCCTCTACCCTCTCCTGACGCTGTGAATGAGACTGCTCACGCTGCCACTGCTGCTGCTGCTGTTGCTGCTGCTACTGCTCCCGCTGCCGTTGAGACCGACGTCGACCTACTGGAGCTCGACCTCAACGTGCACGCAGGCCCCAAGCATTGTTGGGACATCGCCAACATGATGGTGAAGGAGGCGTTGGCGAGCTGGAAGGGCAATGTGGTGAAGGCCGCCATGGACGAGGAGATCCGCAGCCTCATCGCCAACGGCACTTCTAAGCTGGTCGAGCGCCCGCGCGGGGTGAACATCATGAAGAACCGGTGGGTGCTGATGATGAAGTACCATGTCAACGACACAGTCTCTTGGGAGAAGGCAAGGCTGGCCGTGAAGGGCTTCACAAAGGTGTACAACGTCGACTACGACGAGACGTATGCGTCGGTCGGCAACTACATCACGCTGAGGATCTTCCTCAGCATCGTAGCTGCCAACGACCTGCACCTGATGCTGCTTGACATGAAGAACGCCTTCTTGTAGAGCAAGCTCGATAGGGTGCTGTACATGTACCAGCCGGACTACTACAACGACGGGACTGGCCGAGTGTACAAGCTGTTGAAGAGCCTGTATGGGCTGAAGCAGTCGCCGCTGTTGTGGTAGTTGGCGCTCGACCCGGTGCTGACCGGCGCCGGCTGGAGCAAGAGCCAGGTCGACAAGGCACTTTACTTTAAGGTCGGCGGCGATTGAGTGACCAGCTGGGTGCTGGTCTACGTTGACAACCTGCTCACCACCAGTAGCAGCCTCGACATGCTGAAGGAGATAAAGGAGCTGCCGAAGGCCGCCTTTCAGCTGCATGAGATCAAGCCGGTCGAGAAGTACTTCGGCCTGGAGATCAACAGCAGTAGGTGCCATGCCCTGGAGCGCAGCTCGTTCATAAGCCAGCTCCAATTGGAGCCCAGCGTGCCGATGAACACGTCAGCCTGCCGATGAACACGTCCAAACCAAAGGCTACGCACATGAGATTCTCCCTTCTGTTGTTGACAATAAAAACCAAGTGTTTTGCTACTCTAGCGATCCAATGTGATCATTCAACAACACTGTCAGTGGAAAGACGAGTTGCACGAATCTACACACTGGAGCGTGTGTCAGCGAATCAGCGCTAGTCCTGGTCCTCGTCATCGGACTCGTGGAACAGCGTGGTGGGCTGCGTGGCAGCATATGCAGGGGCAATGATCTGCGGGTCCTTAGCCGCCGCGTCCGCGTACTTGAGAATGGCCTCGCGCGGGTCCTCCTCCATCCACGTCTCCTTCAACAGCCCGCCCTCCTGCCCGTGCACCGCACGCACACGAGGGAAAGGTTCGAAAAGGGGGAGTGGATGGGGAGATGGGGAGGGATCGGGGAGGGGAGAGGAAGAAAAGAGGAATTGGTCCCTTACAACTGGTTCTCAGGCTCTTAATCCCAACTACTGCCACAATCCATTCCCGTGTTCTCAGCATGTTCAACAAAAACTGCCGCGGCAGCAGGAAGCAGCAGGCAGGCAGGCGGCAGGGGGCAGGGGGCAGGGGGCAGGGGGCAGGGGGCAAGGGGCAGGCGGCAAGGGGCAGGGGGTAGCACGCACTCGGAGCAGGTACTGGGTGAGCAGGGTGCCCTTGGTCTGCCCCACGCGCCCGCCGTGCCCCGGCCCCTCCATGGGCAGGTCGGGCCGCTGGCTCGCCACGGGGTCTTTGCGCGCCTTCTCGCGCTGCCGCTTGCGGCTCGGCTCGTCGCGAAACATGGGCAGCGCGTGCGGGTTGCGGATGGCGGGCGCTGCCACGCGCGCACACAGGTCCTCGGGGCGCGGCGCGCGGGGGGCCCGCGCCACGCACACTAGCGCGCCGCGCTCGCTGAGCGTGGGGTCGTACAGGATGTGCGTGCCGCCCGCCTTCTTGTCGCCACATGTGGCGAATATCTGGTGGAGATCGGGCAAGGGTGGGGTTTCGTTTCGTGTGGGGAAGGGGTAGATGAAAACGGATGTGCGTGAGATGGGGGTTGGGGCTGCACATGGGTTTTATCTGTTGTGGGAGAAACTAATGGGGAGATGGACCTGATGGGAAAGGAAAGAGATGAACACATGAGAGTGCTGACAGTGTGGTAGGAAGCAGTAGCGATCTGATTGAGGTGGGAAAAAAGCCGCACCCACCTGGTTGAGGCGTGCGTGCCACAGCACGCGCACAACACTCTGGTCGGGCGACACGCCCGTGACGCGCACGATGTCCAGCGACTCCTTGGAGTAGAAATGCAGCTGCATGCGGTGAGGCCACATGTCAGGGCACATGTCAGGGCACATGGCAGGGCACGTAGGATGCGCGTGGTGCGGGGTGTGGGAAGAACAATAAGCAATGCCATGCTAGCTGTCCTGAGGTTGGTTTCAGTTGAGAATCAGTCCCATAGGTTTCGTGCCCTATAAAGACTTTGATACAAAGTACAAGTTTTTACATGTTGACCAATGTGACAGAGCCTGGTTCAAGGGTTGCCTTGTGGCAACCCTCAGCTGCTGCGCCATGCACCCGCTTTGAGTGCACCAAGACGAGTGCGAGGAGGATGTTGCAGCGATGCGAGGAAAGCCATCCCCCACAACATGCACGCGCCCCACCAAGGTGGAGGAGGTAGACGAGCAGCTAGCGCAGGAAAACAGGACAGTGCTTGAAGGAGGGCAGTGCTTGAAGGAGGGCAGTGCTTGAAGGAGGGCAGGGTGAGTGAATGGTGGAAACGAGACTACCGGAGGTGTAAGGCGCCCTCTCACCTCACTCTCTCCATTCCTGCACATTCTTTCTCTACCTGCTCGTACTCACCATGCACCACCAATCAGCGTGCGGACCAATCACGAGTACGGAAACATCTGCATGGCCTCCTGCCGCACGTCTACCCATACTGACTGCTCTTCACGTCCCTCACTCCTCCTTGTTCAGCTTTCCTCATCGCCCCCCTTCCATTGTACCCTCTCTACGTCATGCTATCCTGCAATAACTTTCCTCTCACCTTCCTTTCGTTCAACTTCTCTTCTCTACCCCCCCCTGTGCTCATCCTGTCCCCCCAGCCTCACCTGCCCGCCGCGGCCGCCTTTCTCAGCGGAGGTGGCGGTGAAGAAGAGGCGCTCGTCGGGGCTCCACGCCACGTTGGTCTGCTGGTAGTGGTTCGGCAGGTCCAAGAACACCTTCACGGGCTGCTTGAACTTGCGCACGTCCCACACCTGCGGATGAGGGGACGGGGGGGTGACAACAGGGGGATGGTAGAAGAAGGGGAAACGGGGAAACGAAAGGGATGAATAAGGTACAATGGGGATACGGAAAAAGGTGGATAAGGGACAAGGAGAATAAGAGATTGGTGAGATATGATGGTGGGGGGGGGCGGGATAAGTGGGGGGGGGGAGGGAGGGAATAAGGGGGTTTAAGAAACAGGGGAATCAGGGATAAGGGAAATATGACATATGTTTAGGGCGGGCGGAATAAGGGAAGTGAATACGGGTCGCAGGAGATATGGAATGCGGGAATTAGAGGATGGGAATGACAAGGGATGAGGAAGAGATGGAAAAGGAAAGGAGGGATGGGGGAAGTGAAGGAGAGAAGGAGAAGAATTGGGGTGTTGAGAGTGATTGGGGTGCTCCACAGGCACCCTCACAGGCGATGGTGAGAGAAAGAGACTTGGAGTGCACGGGAGTAGCTCACTCAAGGCAGAGCAGGAGAGTGGGAGCTGAAGGTGCTTCCAGCATGCAGCGGTGGGAGGGGCAGTCCACTCCACAGTGTGGAGGTGGCTGGATGCACATTCACGCCACACACCTCCACCCTCAACTCACGCCACACACCTCCACCCTCAACTCCTTCCTTCCATCCATGCATGCGTGCAGCGCACTCGTGACCTTCATGGTGCCATCCACGTCACCTTCATGGTGCCATCCACGTCACCTTCATGGTGCCATCCACGTCACCTTCATGGTGCCATCCACGTCACCTTCATGGTACCATCCATGGAGCGAGAGACGAGCAGGGAGGCATCGGAGCAGAAGGAGACGCCCGTGATGTCGTCGCCCCTCTCATGTGCATCGGTACACAGCAGGTCCGGCAGCGATCCCCACCCTGACTTCACATTCCACACCTGCCACACATGGGGGGGTTGACCAAGGGAGTGAGAGGAGCAGTGGCGGAGGACGGGCGGGGGTATGGAGGGCTCTGCGCAGTGGGGCACAGTGAGAGGCAGCAGCACAGTGAGAGGCAGCAGCACAGCACACACGCGTGTGAGCAAGACATGCGAGGTACAAACAAAAGGTGGACGTCATGCCATGGCGGGTGCAGAGGTATCTCCACCATGTTGACGCCATGTGTTGACGCCATGTGTTGACGCCATGTGTTGACGCCATGTGTTGACGCCATGTGTTGTGTCATTAACGCCGCGTCAGCTAAGGGCAACGCCACTACCATACACGCCTCACATGCCCCGTTCCTCTCTCCACACCACACCACACCACACCACACCACACCTTGCCACGCCACGCCCCGTTACGCCTCGCCCTGCCACGCCAAGCCACGCCATGCCTATCCTCTACCTGCAGCGAGCCATCGTTGAGGCCAGCAGCCACGAGGCGGCCATCAGGCCCCCACTCCGCCGCTGTCACCGGCACCCTCCCCGGCCGCGCCAGCTTCGGCTTCACCACCTGCCAGGGGGTAAGGCACGGGAGCGAGGAGCCCGAGAAAATTAAGTTGGGATTCTCAAGCTGCCTGGCCAACGGTTGGTTGGGGCAAGAGGAGCGAATCCAATCACAAGCACACGGTACACACACGGAGGAGGTAGCTTGACGCACCTTCGTCTGCGACTTGAAGTCTCGCACATCCCAGATGCGCAGCGAGCCGTCATCGGACGCGGTGAGCGCCGTGTGGCGCTCGCAGGGGTGCCACTGCGCCGTGGTGAGCCCTGCGATGTGCCCCTTGGTGTTGCGCAGGTCGCGGATGTACATGTCCCCCCGCACGAACTCGCCCTTGCTGCGCCCGTCCCTGTCGTACACCTGCCCTCACGCCGCATAGTACCGGATGGCCAGGGTCGAGGGGGGAAATGGCGCGAGCCGAGCAGCAGGGCGGTTGTCAGCAGCACAAGGGAGATTCTGCAGAATTCTAAGAGATTCTCACGAGAAAGAGCAACGGATGGAAAGATTTGGTGAGAAGGGAGTGGCAGCCTATGGTCGCACAACATAGGTGGCAGCGGCAGCAAGAGCTCAACATTCAATTGGGCCTGGTCAGAGCACAACATTCACTTGGCCCTGGTCAGAGCACAACATTCACATCGCCCTGGTCAGAGTAGAAACTGTTCTGAAGCACGAAGAGGGGAGAAGAGAGGGAGGGTGACTGCAGGGCAGGGCGCACCTTAGCCTGGGCGTTGCCGGTGGCGGTGATGAAGAGGTCAGCGGAGGGGCTGAAGGACACGGCGCGCACTTGGTGGCCGTCAAAGGGCACGAGGTGGCGAAAGGCTTGGAGGCGCGAGTCCATGCCGTGGAAGTCGTAGAAGCGCAGCGAGTAGTCGTAGCTGCCGCTTATCACGCGCGTGCCCGTTGGATCCACCGCCAGCGCCGCCACTGCCTGGAGGCCGCGGGTTGAGAGGAGAGGAGCACAGGGACGTGGTGAGCTTGCTGGTCGTTCACGGGTGGGGCAAATGCAGAAATGGGTGGGCAGCTGAGACGGCATGGTGAACGCTTCGCCTTGCCAAGTGTGGCTGGCGCAGTTGCCTGTGGCCTCTCCGGCTGCTACAGCGTGGCCTGTGAGCATGTCACCTTGGTGTGTCCCACCAGCACAATCTCACCTTGGTGTGTCCCCCCAGCACAATCTCACCTTGGTGTGTCCCCCCAGCACAATCTCGTTGCTCAACGGCACTCCAAACTCGTCATCTTCCTCCTCCCCTGCCTCTGCGCCCTCCTCTTCGTCATCCTCCTCACTCCCATCGCTCCTCTGCTCGTCCTGCCGCCCTGCCGCGCGGCTCTTCTTCCGCCCACCGTGCTGCTGTCTGCTGCGAGCAGCAGGGGCAGGAGGCCCAACAAGGCCGCCACCACCGTCCTCCAAGCGGCCCGGCGGGCGCGGAGGGCCGATCACCGCATCCCCCTCGCCCTCGCCCTGCACCACCGCTGCTCCCCGCCCATCTGCTGCACCTCCATCCCTCACCGCTCGCGCCCCACCCGCCTCCCGGTGTGCCCCACCCGCAGAGCCCCAGGGCGCACCACCTGTCTCCCTCAAGCTGCCCCCCGTCGCTTCATCTCCGCCCACACGCTCTGCTCCTCCGCCTGCCCCTCCCCTTTCCACCAAACCTCCAGTGCCCGCTGCTCCTACCGCCGCTGCTCCCACCGCTGCTGTTCCCGCCAGCCCTGCCTTGGCCCCGTCGCCTAACCTCTTCGCTAGGCTCGGCCCAATGCTGAACTTCATCCCCGCAGCCTTCTTCTTCCCCTTTACCCCGGCGCGCTCCGCGTGTGCGCGCGCCGTCTGCGCGTGCACGGCCTCGAGCGGCGTGACGCGCTGCTCCTGGCGGCCGAACGACGCGGGGAAGGCGGCGCGCACCCCCAGCAGCGTTTCCCCCTCGTCGTCGTCCGCCAGCGCGGCGGCGGAGGGAGGCGGGCGGAAGGGCGGGCTGTCGGGAGGACTGTCTGCGTCACAGCTGACGTCATCCATCGGAAGTGAATGTGAGAGGGTTGTCGTGTCGCGAACGAAGGTCGGGCTTTCGGTTTCTCCAAAAGTGCGGGTTGTTAGCGTGCGAGTAGGGTTAAACGAAGGGAAATTCGAGTGTCCCAGCAATATATGCTGTCAGCACTCCCTGCGTTCTACAGGGAAAAGCCCATCGCAAAAACAGGGATGGTGGAAGGGTAAGTTTAGTTTCAGGTGCTTCTAAGCTGCTCGACTGAAAGTTACGACATACCTACCTCGGGAGCTGCTTTGAGCGTGGGCGCTTCGGGAATCGGCAGAATGATGGGAGGGTGAATGCGGGAGGGCGTTTGCATTTCCTGTCTTTGCATCGCCCATTTCGCCTAATCAATGGTAGGGCGTGCTTCACTGTAATTCGAAACCCCTCTAAGGATCTAGTAGTTACATGTTTCTTTCAGCAGACTTCCAACTACTATTTCTAATTTTACTTTGTTAATAAGACAATTTGCAATTTGTTAATACAAAGTATTTGTTATTCTCAGAGGATTCCAAAAATATTATTCACCCATAGGAATAAGAAATCTAAAGCCCCAATATGAGTCATATGAAGGATGTAATCATGTCAAATTGCGACAATACGTTATTTGATATTTGTCAAAATAGAATCAAGCTTTCATACTTGGAATATGGTGACTGTTTGGATAATCAAAGAATTTATGCAATAAAAATAACAGCGTTTAAATGGCACCTCATATCGTTCAGTGTCAAATGTTGTAGTCTTAGTGATATGTGTTATAGGGGGTACAACTGTTAGGGCTAAGTTCATGTACCCCAACCAACCTTAGTGAAACCATCACTTTCATTCTTGCCAGGGTATCACCTAGGTTAGGATCCTGAAGGATCCCGTTCCTCTCGTTCACGTCCGTAGCGCCCAAGCCTGTCCCGTACCCTAGTGCCCGTTACGTCCGTACTGTCCCCTGGCGTCTCTCACGCTCGTCTCTCTCGTGCCCTAGCGCCCGCTGCGCCTGCCGTCGCGTCGCCCCTGCTGTCCCATCCCGTCCTGTCGCCCCTGCTGTCCCGTCCCGTCGCCCCTGCCGTTGCGTCGCCCTTGCTGTCCCGTCCCATCCCGTCCCGTCCTGTCGCCCCTGCTGTCCCGTCGCCCCTGCTGTCCCGTCGCCCCTGCTGTCCTGTCCTGTCGCCCCTACCGTCGCGTCGCCCCTGCTGTCCCGACCCGTCTCGTCGCCCCTGCTGTCCCGTCCTGTCGCCCCTACCGTCGCGTCGCCCCTGCTGTCCCGTCCCGTCCCGTCGCCCCTGCTGTCCCGTCCCGTCGCCCCTGCCGTCGCGTCGCCCCTGCTGTCCCGTCCCGTCCCGTTGCCCCTGCTGTCCCATCGCGACGCCCCCTGCTGTCCCGTCCCGTCCCGTCGTCCCTGCTGTCCCGTCCCGTCCCGTTGTCCCTGCTGTCCCGTCGCGTCGCCCCCCTTCTGTCCCGCCGCGCTGCGCCGTCCGTCCCGTCCCGTCGCCCCTGCTGTCCCGTCCCGTCGCCCCTGCCGTCGCGTCGCCCCTGCTGTCCCGTCCCATCCCGTCGCCCCTGCTGTCCCGTCGCCCCTGCTGTCCCGTCACGCCGGCACTGCCGTCGCGTCGCCCCTGCTGTCCCGTCCCGTCCCGTCGCCCCTGCTGTCCCAACACGTCGCCCCCTGCTGTCCCGTCCCGTCCCGTCGTCCCTGCTGTCCCGTCCCGTCCCGTCGTCCCTGCTGTCCCGTCGCGTCGCCCCCCTTCTGTCCCGCCGCGTCGCGCCGTCCGTCCCGTCCCGTCCCGTCCGCGTCGAGCTTCCCGTCCCGTCCCGTCGCACGCGCCCCGTGCGCCCTGCCCATCCGTCGCGCTCCCGCTGCGCCCTGCCCGTCCGTCGCGCCCCGTGCGCCCTGCCCGTCCGTCGCGCCCCGTGCGCCCTGCCCGTCCGTCGCGCTCCGTGCGCCTTGCTCGTCCGTCGCGCCCCCGCTGCGCCCTGCCCGTCCGTCGTGCCCCGTGCGCCCTGCCTGTCCGCGCCTGTCGCGCCCGTCCCTGCCAGTCACATCCGTCCCGTTTTGTTGCACTGTCTGTCACACCCTACGCAAGCCCTTTAGGCGTTTAGGGTTTCGGCAGCAGCAGTATCCACCTCTACGCTTCCGCTATGGCGACCCCTAGGATCCTGTGCTTTGACGCTGAGGGTAGGCCGCTCGAGTTCTTGGTCTGGCTCCTGCGTGCGTGCTGCCTCCTAGAGAGCCAGGTTCAGGCACACGAGACTCTGTGGGCGCACGCTTCCGGTGACCTACCTGAGCCAGCTCACCCTGCACCCTTAGCAGCTGACCCCACACCTGCAGACAGTGACCGTTATGCACGCGAGCGCGCTGATGTGACAGCGTGGAAGTCGTGTGACGCTGCAGCGTGCATCGCCCTCAGCAGCCTCCTCCTTGAGTCTGAGGAGACCCACTTCACTCAGGTTCGCACGGCTAGTGAGTTCCTGACTGCGATCAAGGCACGCTACGCTACTCCCACCACTGTCTCTCTTGGTCGCCTGTTCCTTCCGTTCCTGTTTCCTGACCTCGCCTCATTTGAGCGCACTGCTGAATTGATCACTCATCTGCGCTCGCTCGATTCTAGCTACCGCGCTGCTTGCAGTGATGCACAGCTTGCACTGCTCCCTCCCCCCATGGCGATTACCATCTATTTCATCGCCACTAGCCTCCCTAACTGCCTTGCCTCGGTTCGTGACGCGCTTCTTCTGAAGCACCCTAGCGAGCTCACTATCGAGGTCCTTGAGTCGGCCCTCAAGGACGTCGAGAGCAACCTCCGCTCGGTAGCCTCTGCCTCTGGTGTTGTGCCCCCTCCACTGTTCCACAAGTGCACTGTCCCTCAGCTTCCCACCTTTACTGCCTCCCTCGCCACTGGCGCTACTGACGTGACCGCAGCTGCTGTTACGACTTCTTCGCGGTCTCGGGGTAGGAGTGGCGGGAGGGGCGGTCAGGGTGCGGGCGGAGGCGGCGGAGGCGGTGGGGGTGACGTGGCAAGCGGCGGTGGGGGGAGTGCAGGCGCTAGAGGAGCGCCTCGTGCAGCGGCCGGTGACTCCCCTGCTGCAGCTGGTGGAGGTGATGCCCGGGTTCGTCAGCCACCTACTGGTCTGCCAGCCGCAGGGGGTGGAGCAGCGGCGTGGTACCTGACTCGATGACAGTAGCAGCAGCAGCAGCCCCTCCCCTCGCAGCAGCCACACCAGCAGCAGCGGCAGCAGCAGGTTTCGGGGCAGGGGTCAGGATAGCGTCAGCTGCAGCGCGGTGTCGTCCACCCTCCCTGCACCTATCATGTTCTGATAGGTGCCCGCCGCAGCCAGCCTTGTGGCCGCAGCCACCCACCGGGTCAGTGCTTTGCTCAGCTTACTGACACGGTTCGATTGGCCTACGGCGTTGACGGCCCTGCCCCTGACTGGCTTCCCCTTGTTAAGACGTACGACCCCGCTCTGTGGGGCATGTCGGCTTCTTAATTGGTTGATCTCTTTGGAACTCCTAATGCTATGTATGCTGTTGTTGACTCTAGTGCTTCTGACTCTGTTTACTTGAGTGTTGTTAGCTTAGGTGCTAGTCTTGCTGAGGTGCCTGTTACTAGTGTAGGTACTTGTGTAGACACTAGTCCAGGAGCTGCTCCGGAGGACGCTTCGCTGTCTTTCACTCTGGACTCCGGAGCTTCCCACTGTTTCTTCCGCGACCGCACGACACTTACCCCGATTCCTACGCCGCTCTCTGTAGCATTGGCTGATCCCACTTCAGGACCAGTCACTGCTCGCTACACTACTACGCTTCCATGCCCAGCTATTCCCTCCGGTTCTCTGACCGGCTTCCACGTCCCCTCGTTCTCGAGGAACTTGGTGGGCGTGAGGCCGCTCGTGAGTCAGCATGTGGGTGTGTGGATTGAGCCTTCTGGCGAGACTGCGGTTTGTGTCGACAGGGACACGTACGTGCCTCTCGCCACCTTTACTGCTGAGCCAGGTTCTGGTCTCTACACACTTCACACTGGTCCTCGAGGGCAGCAGCAGCAGCAGCAGCGGCAGCAGCAGCAGCAGCAACAGCAGCAGCAACAGCAACGGCAGCAACAGCAGCAGCAACAGCAGCGGCAGCAGCAGCAGCAGCAGCAGCATCAGCTACTGCCCCCGACCCCTGTCACTGCCCCCGTCAGGTTCCCGCGTCTCATCTGGTTGCCGCGTCTCCCCAGGTAGCTGTGTCTGGTCAGGTTCCAGTGTCTAGTCCAGTTGCTGCGTCGTGCTCATGCCGCTCGCTTGCCCACCCCACTGTTTTGCAGCACCACCAGATGGGGCACCCGTCCATTTCTTGCCTGCGCACTATGTCTAGTCAGCGTCTTGTCTTAGGCCTCCCGCGTGTCTTGCCGTCATTGCCGCCTTCGCTTGCGCCACCCTGCAGTCCCTGCGTCAAGGGTCGGCTGCGCGCCACCCCTCACTCCTCCTCCCTTCGTCCGGCCACCGGGCTCTTCGAGACTCTCCACTTGGACGTCTGGGGCCCTGCCTCGCGCCCTGGCCCTGAGCAAGAGAGTTTCTTTCTCGTGGTCGTTGACGACTACTCCCGCTACACCACAGTGTTCCCCCTGGCGAAGAAGTCCGACGTGACTTCTACGCTGATCCGGTGGTTGCTTACCACTGTGGACACTCGTGGTCGTCGTGTCAGCTGTCTTCACTCCGACCGCGGGGGTGAGTTTTGCTCTGGCATTCTCGCTGGATTCTGTCGCGAGCAGGGCGTCCGTCAGTCATGGACGCTTCCAGAGTCCCCACAGCAAAATGGGGTTACTGAGCGCTGCATAGGCTTGGTCATGGAGATCGCCCGCACCTCCATGACTCACGCCCGTGCCCCCCATTTTCTGTGACCCTACGCGGTTTGGTACGCCGCTCACCAGCTGAACCTTTGGCCACGTGTCTCTCGGCCAGAGGTTTCACCGACCAGTCTTTGGACCGGGTCCCCTGGTGCTGCGTCGCGTTTTCGTGTCTGGGTTGCTTGGCACTTGTTCGCGACACCTCTGCGGACAAGATCTCGCCTCGCGCTGTTTCCTGCGTGTTCCTTGGTTTCCCTGAGGACTCGTCTGACTACACCTTTTACCACCCTCCCCTTCACCGGTTCTTTAACTCGCGTGACGTCCATTTCGACGAGTCCGTCCCCTACTACGTCAGGTACCCCTGTCGAGGTCTCCCGGTTCCTCCTGCCCCTCTCCTCCTGACTTCAGCTCCCCCTCCTGCTCCCCCGGTACAGCCTCCCCCCCCTGGTCCTACCCCGTCAGGTGTGTCCCACGCTACCCCTCCCCCCTCGGTATCCCCTCAGGTGTAGCCTCCTTCCCCGCAGTCCTCCTCCCAGCCTACAGCAGAGCCTGCGGGAGCTGGTTTTCGTGGCGAGGACCCTGGAGGTGCTAGCTCTAGAGGTGCTGGAGTTGGAGCAGAGAGCGTACCTGTGCAAGGTCCTAGTTCTGGGGGTGCTGGAGTTGGAGCTGAGCCCGTGACTGCAGGAGACTCTAGTCTTCGGGGAGCTGGTGTTAGTGGAGCTATTCCTGGGGGTGCTACGACTGGGGCTGCTGGACTTGGAGAGCCTGGGACGGACCCTGTTACTTCTGGTGGTGTTGGCTCTGGGGGTGGTGCGACTGGTTCTTTGGAGAGCGGTCCAAGGGCTACCACCGCTCCGGACACTACTCTTCCCCCCCACCCCTTCGCGACCCAGCACCAGGCCCGTGTTCGCCGTGCCTGTGAGGAGCAGCTGCAGTAGGAGCGAGAGGAGAGAGAGTTGGAGCGGCAGCACCTTGAGCTACAGCGGCAGCAGCTTGAGCTACAGCGGCTGGAGGAGCAGCAGCAGCAGCAGCCGGAGCAGGAGCAGCCGCACCAGCAGCCGCAGCAGCACCAGCAGTAGCAACAGCCACCTCCTCCTCCTGTCTCTGGTCTTCGGACCCTCGGTCTCCCCTCTCCTTCTCCTCCCTCTCCCCCCTCTCCTCCCGTCTTTGGTCCTCCGCTTCCTCCTCCTGACCCCTCCCCAGCTGTTTTCCCTCCTCCTCTGCCCCCGTTGTCCCCTCCTCTTTCTCACACTTGGCCTTCGCGTCACTCTCCTTGTGCTTGTCCCTCGTCCCCTGTTCCCTTCACTGACCTTCGTACTGCCTTGTTTCGTTCTAGTCCGCCTTGTTTGTCTCCTTCTGTGCTTTCTTCTCCTCCTCGGTCGGCTCTCACTGCTTCCCTCTCTACTCCTGTCATAGACTACTACCGCACGTACCGTCCTGTTATCTCTCGTGTTCTCGCCTCTCTTGTTACCGACCCACGTGCTTCTCTGTCCGCTGTCTCTGCTCTTACTGTCGCAGTCACTGAGTTTGCCTCTACTCGCTGCCCTGATTACGCCACCAGTCTTGTGGCTGCTCCTCCTACCAGTACTTTGGCCGTCGGGGGTGAGTCTGCCCTTGTTTGTGACGCCCTGGAGGACAGGCAGTTTGAGCTGGAGTTCATGGCAGCCGCTTCCCCTCATCTCTGTGCCATGCTGCTCGCCTCTGAGGGAGACCCCGATGCCCTTGACATACCGACTCCTCGCACTTACGCTGAGGCAGTGTCAGGGCCTTGGGCCTCTCAGTGGAGAGCTGCCATGGACTCAGAGATGGCCTCCTACAGATCCAAAGGCACCTACGTCGATGAGGTTCCCCCCCTTGGGGCGAACGTAGTCGATAGCATGTGGATCTTCAGGGTGAAGTGGCCACCGGGATCTCCTCCGATCTTCAAGGCGCGATATGTGGCCATAGGTTTCAGTCAACGCGAGGGAGTCGACTTCTTTCAAACCTTCGCGCCTACCCCGAAGATGACCACTCTTCGGGTGTTACTGCACGTAGCAGCACAGAGAGACTACGAGTTACACTCTCTTGACTTCTCCACTGATTTCCTTCAGGGTAGCCTACACGAGGAGGTTTGGTTGCGTCGTCCCTCTGCCTTCACTGGCACTTTCCCTCCTGGGACCCAGTGGAGGCTTAGGTGACTGGTCTACGGTATCCGTCAGGCTCCTTGTGAGTGGCACAGCACCCTTCGCTCTACCCTTTTAGACCTTGGTTTCCAGCCTTCTTCTGCCGACCCGTCATTGTTCGTTCGTCGTGGCTCCACACCGTTCTTTGTACTGGTCTACGTCGACGACCTGGTT